GCCTACAGACGCGACCGCTCTCTTGGGATTGCAGGCGCCAGTGCCGTGGTTACCCACTGGGCCGATCGACAGCGGCACCTCCTCCCCCACTGGCGGTCGCTGCCGTCGACGCACACACCTTGGCTTTGACCTTGAACTGGGCTGTGGCCTCGATGTTCTTGTTGACTGCCTCGGGGTCTGTGAAGTCTGTGTTGCCTGCGCTGGCTGAGAACTCCTCCGCTGGGGCCGCTGCTGGTTGCTCTCCTGCTGGTCGGGCTGTCCCACCGGTGCTTTTCTTCATATTGTTGTTGAAAGCGGTGTGGAGCTTGCGGAGACGTTCGGCGGCATCTTTAACAATATTTGCCATAAAACAACCGCTTGCCGGAACGTGGCTTCCTCATCTTCACGTTTGCCGTCGGGTCCCAGCGACTCCAGATCCTCTTTGCCCAGCTCTGGGAAATCCGTGTCGTCGTTGGTGCCCTTCTGCCTCTCCTGCTCGGCTGCTGCAACTGCTCCCACAGTGGTCTTGCCCACCAGCTGGTCGACCTCGGCCAGGGCTGCCAGGCGCTCTTCCACGTTGACACTCACTCGGGCCAAGAAGATCTTTCTGAGAGCTGCTGCCACCAGTTGTGCTTTGATTCGGCCCTGCTGCGTCTGGAGCTGTCGGGGTTCCTTCGCTGCGATTGCGAACTGCTCTTCGGCCGACTTGATGGGTGGCGGCTTCCACGTCTCCACCAGCTCCGGGCAGACTGCCAGCAACGCCTGCTGCTTGGCCTGGTCGTCGGGCTCCTTGGCCTTGGCAAACTGCGGCAGCAGGACGGAGGCCACGCGGGAGGCTCCTCCTGCAGCTGGCTGTGGTCCTGCTCTTGGGATGGAACGGGGTGTGCCTGCGCCGCCTTTGCCTGCCACCACGTCTGCGAATGTGACTCTGCGCTGCTGCTGCTGCTGCTACTGCTGGTGTAACTTGCCGAACTCGCTCCACATGATGCCACAAGCATGCTTCCCACCCCTGCTTCCCAGCCTTGCTGAGAAGAGCAGCAGGACGAGGAGAATGCGGACATGTAAGGTTGCTGCCGACTCCTGGATGTGGACCTCTGGCGAGATTTCGTATTTTTTGGGCCCCTCCCATGGAAACTGGAACGCGCACTTTCGCTGCCCGACTGGGCGCCCCCCAAGCCGCGGGACCGCCTGACCGAAAGCCCCTGGAAGACAGTCGGCGCACGGTACGCGTGCGTGTGTGTGCGGCGGGCCTCTCCCCTGAAGGGACTCGACACACAAAAGGCTGGAGGAGGAGGAGGAGGAGGAGGAGATGAAAGAGGAGGAGAGGGGGGAGGGCGAGGAGTAGGAAGAGGAGGAGAAGGAGGCTCCAAGAGGTTGCTGGAGGCCTCTGGCGGTCCCTGAGGAGGGAACCACAAGCATACAAACGCATCGTTCCTCGACCCTGGATTAGGAAGCAGAGAAACAGTGAGGCCAGCGCTGGGGTGCGAAGGAATTGCTTCTTGAGTGCCACCGGAGCCGCCTGAACACTGACCTGACCAATCGGCCGTGTAACTGCCGCATCAGGGGCAACAACGAGTCAAATCATCACCCAAAATCACCCAGGCATCCCGAGCATCACATGACGGAGCTCGTCCGGCCCGAACGCTGAGTAGCTGATAGACAGGTTCTCCCGCCCCAATCGGTGCAAGAACATCGTTTAACCGATCCCCATCCCCACTGGCATGGCCCTGGAACCACTGACCCATTGAAACCCCTGGAGGGGATGAATGGTCAGAGGCTGCCTCCCCCCAATGCAAATTGGATGATCGAACCCCCACAACCGCAGGATGGGTACGCCCGTGACCCTCGCGAAGGCCTCGCGACTCGGATCGCTCCCCCACCCCCCTCCCTGCGGACGTGGCCCTGTGGGCGTGGCATGGTGGAAGGTGCTGGTGCCCCTTCCCCCTCCCCCTGTGGGTGTGGGGGGAAGGTTCGACGGCGTCGGCGTCTTTCATAGGCGTCGGCGTTGGCGTCGACATCGGCGACGGCGTCGGCGTCGGCGTCCGTCGGCGCCGCCCTCCTCGTCGTCGTCGTCGTCGTCGTCATCCCCGCCACCGTCGCCGTCGCCGTCGTCGTCGTCGTCGTCGTCGTCGTCCACGGCGGCGGCGGCGGCTGTCGCCGCCGCCGCCAACCGTCGCCGTCGCCGTCCTCGTCTTCGTCGTCGTCGCCGCCGCCGCCGCCGTCGTCGTCGTTCGTCGTCGTCGTCCTCGTCATCGCCGTTGCCGTCGCAGACGCCGTCGCCGTCGCCGTCGCAGTCGTCGACGTCGCCGCCGTCGCCGTCATCGCCGTCGTCGTCTTCGTCGTCGTCGTCGTCTTCAGTCAGCGCCAGCGTCTTTCATTGGCGTCGTCGTAGTCCGCGTCGGTGTCGACTTCGGCATCGGCGATGGCGTCGTCGTCGTCGTCGCCGTCATCGTCGTCGTCGTCGTCGTCGTCTGCGTCGTCGTTGGAGGCGGCGGCGGCGGCAGCCGTGGCGGCGTCGGCG